CCCCCCCCCCCCCCCAGGCCCCAATGGTGTGGCTTTCCCTCGCTAGCACACGGAAGTCATGGTACCATACACTTTCCCACTCGGCCCAGCGGACGGCCTATTCGCCGGCCCCGCACACGTACGCACGAAATAACACATGCATATCCCATTTACATTTTCCAAACACATCATCTTCCCTCCCTTGATCGTCCGTACGTGCTCTGCCTGCCGAAAACAAGGAAAAAATAAGTTACCACGAAAACATGCTACCGTCGGGCGGCGGGAGTCCCAACAAAAGCGAACGGTTAAGCGAACGGTTAAGCCCGGCCCGCATCGCAACAACTCAAATGACGCTCTCTCCTCCTATCTCGCTCCTTCCTCCGCTCGCTCGCTGCCTCTAAAAACAATCCTCCAATCACACGACGAGAGTTGGCTGGCTGGCACAAAACTGGGTTTGTTTTCGGTACGCTGAAAAAACAACACATACGCACACACGCAACGCGTCAAGCACACGCGCTGCAAAAGTTAAAAAATCATTATCAAACCATCCACTAGAAAAAAGTACAAAAACATATCATCATCATCATCGGCCTATAGACTAAAGCAGAAGAGGCCACGGCTGCGCCTCTTCATAATCGCTTCCTAGAGCGAGAAACGCGCCGGCGAGCAACCATCACAAGCGCCCGGTGCGCGCTGTTACTGGTGGTCTACTTATTACACTGCGGGAGTTCTTTTACCTCCTCCTTCGTATTACTACGGCGGAGCGTCGCCCATTGGCTGAGCCGTGATAACACCCTCGCCGCCGGAGTACACGCGGGGCTTCCGCTCTCCCTCCCCCTCCGCCGCCCCGGCTGAGGCCTCAACAGCGATAGCTTCCGGTTTCTCGTCTTCCTCCTCCTCCAACGATCTATCTCTTGGGGTGCTCGTCTCAGCCTGAACCTCCTCCGTCTCTACTCCTCGCTCAACCGCGGCGCCACTTCCACCTCCCACAACCTCCCCGTTGAGTTCGATGTTGACGTCTCCACCGGGTGCTACGGTCTCATCCAAAACCTCGGGTTTGACCCCGTCCACCGCCATAACTCCCGCGCCCGTCGGGTCTACAACGACGCCCGCCAGCGCCGCCCGGTTCTTCGCCTCCAGCCGTTCTTGGTGTCGGCGTTTCTTTCGGGCGGCGGCTGCGCTCATCTTCCGTTGCTTCGCAGGCGCCGCGGGAGCCGGCACACTAGCGGCCGCAGCGGCGGAAGTAGAAGAAGCAGCGGCGCCCTTGGCTCGTCTCTGGCTGCCGGCGGCGGCGCTCTTGACCTTCCCACCACCGCCACCATCACCTTCGGACACTGCAGTCTCCTTCCTCTCGGTCACGTTGGTTCCGCTCTGAACCGACTCGGCCGCTTGCTCGGTGGCGGGGGGGGCTCCTCCTCCTCCTGCTTCTTCTGCAGACGGCGCCGCTCCCTCCTCTCCGTGCTTGGCACCCACGCCGTCCTCCTCTTCCTTAACCCCTCCTCCTCCTCCTCCTCCTCCTCCTCCTCCTCCTTCTTCTGCAGACGGCGCCGCCCCCTCCTCCCCGTGCTTGGCACCCACGCAGTCCTCCTCTTCCTTAACCACTTCTCCTCCTTCTTCTCCGGCATCATCCTCATCGGGGAGAACACTAGGTCGTTGCGCCGCCACCGCCACCCCCGCTGCCGCCGTCGTCACCGTCGCCTCCAGCCCCCCTTCTGAGTCTCCCCCGACGACCCTCGCTGCCCCACGGAGGGCGGTAACGACCGACCTCCTCTCCGCCGGGCCGGGGAGGAGCTCCGGGAACGCCTCCCCCTTGCCGTCCGCCATGCTCAGCGGGCTGCGCTCCGGGGTAATGAAGCACGGGTCACTCCGCATCGAAGGGCCGGCGGCGGCCGCGGCGGCGGGGACGGCTCCGCCGATCGTTGCCCAAGAAGCATCACCACCAGGCAACAACGGCGAAGAAGGCTGGTTGTCGGGCGAGGGAGGTCTTCCCGCCCCCGCTGCTCCTGCTGCTGCTGCTGCTGCTGCCTCCTCCTCCTCGTTATTGCTGTTCAAGACTAGCCTCACCAGGCGGCCGTTGTCGTCGCGAGTCCACCCCTTGGGGGCCCGGTTTGTGCCGTCCGCTGCCGCGGCCAGAGGGAACTCCGTCCGGGAGGAACGGGAACCTCTTCGCAGCGACTTGGCCTCCTGCTTTTCGGGGGAGGTAGCAGCACAGGGGGGAAGTAAAGATCAGGGCAGTCAGCNGGGACGGGGCACGCCGGGTTCTCACCGGACCAGGCTCTCACATCACCAAAGCAGAAGCGCCGTGAGATATTCGGCGAGTCGCATGAAGGGTGCGCTGCATCCTGCTAAGGGTGTTCGGCATCTTGTGCTTACTTCCTTGCGTACGGATGACAGCTGCGTATGACTTAATTTATTTTCTGGTGCTTTCACTTCCAGAGACAGTTGTAAGCACTGTGTAACTGCCTCGAGGGTGCTTGACCATTTTAACACAACGTGGTGCGATCATCCCCCTTGCGCGGAGTGAGGGTTCTCCACCCCGCACAACATGATCTACTCGACCACCAGTATGGTTACCGCCAAAAAAAGAAGAAG